GGGCCTGTCTGGTCAGTGGCATTGAGATATTTGAGGAGTGGGAGTAAAATCTTGTGACATGCCCACGTGACACATCAATTTCATGATCTTCATTGGGCCAAGACTGTTGTGACCCAGGCTGAATGGGAGGCTCTTGGGGAGTCATTCACCCAAGTGAGGTAAGTGAGCTTTCAGGGCACCGGGGCCAGGTCAGCGCATCACCTGTTCCTAGGGAGCTGGTGGGGACCCCGACGTCTAGGCAGAACCCATTTCCTGAGTGGTGCACGTGGCACTCTTGCCAACCCAAATGAAGAGTGCATGTGGCACTCTTGCTCCCCTTGTCCCCGCTATGTCCTGCTCCATCAACACCAGCCAGCATCGACCCGCCCTGCAGAGGCTGCAGGGAGGTGGCCTGCCAGGTTCACCCTCTGCGCGATCTTGGAGGAGAGCTGCCTGGCCTGCTCCTCTTCCAGTTCCGGCTTGGGGTTTTGTTCCTCGGTGAGCAGCACACAGGCCCACGCGCTACCCCATGCTGGACTTTCAGGAATGTCCTCGAGGCGTCACTGGGTTGTCTTTATTCTTCCCACGCCACACAACACAGCCCTAGTGTTGGCCCAGGTACCAGACAACACAGGTCAGCTGCCCAAAGGGAAGAACTCCCGAGGCGCCTTTCTCTGACTGACAGTCGACAATCAAAACCATGCAGGGCTGGGAGACGTTCACGGCCTGGCGCCAGGTGTGGAGAGCGCCCCAGCCAGGCGGCCCTTCCGCTGCCACCCTGGGCAGGGCTTCCCCGCGGCCTTACCACTGTGAGAAACTGTGCTCCTACCTCTGACTCTCCTCTCTAAAGGTGGCTTGACATCAGGTGCAAGGTCAAAATTGAGACTTTAAAGAAGCTTCATGAAGACACCATGCTCCTTTGGTTTACCTCTTAGCATTGCAAAAGCAAACAAGTCTGATCCAAGGTCTCCAGCAGGACACAGTGACCCCCGATAGCTGGGAAACCCGTTGGCTGGACCACCTGGTGGGATTCGCGGAGCAGGCGGCTCTTGTAGCTCAGGGAGAGCAGCACATCCCAGCACGGCCGTTGGGGCTCACACACCTCTCTGCCTACATTTCCTCCGTGTGATGGAGACCTGGATTCCTCTCAAAATACCCAGCACAGGTGCAAACCAGCAGGAGACTTCCGAAAGTGGTACTATTTTGCCCAGAATCTCTGAGCACCTAAGCCTCGAGAGATCCCACAGCCAGGATGCTGACCAAAGCTAGAGAGGCTGGGCCCCGTGCTGACCAAGGGCCTCGGCTCTGCCTACTTATCTGTGAGATCCCCACCTCTGCATTTCTCAGTGCTCACTAAACCCCTCGTACTGCCAATCCCCTGTGGCCAGAGGGCCCAGATGGAAATGGAACACACCGAGCCAAGACAGTGCTTGTTGAGACCTCCTGAGACAAAACCCTGCCTCCAAAGACCTAGTGAGAAGGGTTTTTTTGTTTGTCCCCACCAACCCAAACACACTTTCAACTGCATAAGCATGACAAGATAAACTGATTAGTTTTAGACATTCAGATCTGCTCTGCGCGCTGCCGAGCACAAGGTGGGCCCGTGGCCTCTGTTCGCAGCAGGCACACCAGCGGCGGGAGAGGCCTGGGGCTCTGGCCAGCAGCATGCAGAAGGGGAAGAGGCCAAGGCCCACGGCTGTGTGTCTGTACTCAAATATAGAGATTAAAAAATGCTAAAGAGAAAGAAAGAAAGGCGAGCACACAGCTGCCGTCCCCAAACAGACCTCCCATCTGCCACCCACGGTCTGCATGTCACCTTCTCCAGGCTCATTTGTACTTCATTAACTGCCATTGACTTAACAAGATTTATGCAAATGACACCGTAGGAGCTCCCCAACTCCCACTGCAATCAAGTGATTATGTATGTACAACTCTCCACAGCCATGAAAAATTAATACGTGACAAGCCCACTCGCCGCTGAGCCGGCTCTGGCTTTTATTTTTCTTGCTTTGCTTTTTAATTTTTATTCGAATAGACCTTATCTTGTTAGGAAGTAAAGAAACAGAACTCTGAACCAGTCCCTCCAAGGCCCCGGAAAGGACACAACAATGAGAGGCGGGCTCTGGTCCAGGAGAAACGGAGGTAAGCCCCAGAAAGCCGGCTGGCCGTGTCCCTGAAGATAAACCTGGAGCTGCGGCGGGGACACGGCAGTCCTGACCCTGGACCGGCCGGCTCCCACACTGGGGAGGAGCCTGTGCTCTCACACGAAGGAGTCTAGAGTTTAAGTGAAATGGGGTTAAAATCACCCACTGTGTCCGTGCAGCCTGTACAGACGTGGTCCGTCTGTGGGGAGAGGAGGTGTGACTCAGAACAGGGGCCAGGCCAAGCCCAGGGCATGACCACGACGCCTGGCCTGCTGAGCCCTCAGCCATCAGGCAAGAGAGCTGGTGAGCAGGGACCACGCTTTGGCCACAGACGGGGCCTGAGGACCAGGTGTCCTGCTGATGGTGAGAAGGGCAGGAACACAAAGGTGACAGACGCACAGAGGACTGAGGGGATGGCCCTTCCCACCCGAGCGCACGGGTGAGGTGGGCTGCTGTAGGCAAGCCCTGGAAGCTCCTGTTGAGGTCAGCGCTCACGTATTTGATTTCTGACCCAAAACTCTGCTTCCAGAGCTCTTTGCGGGCTTCTCATCACTCGGGCAGTGGGGAGGGCACAGGTACTGGGCAGAGGGTCCTGTGGAAGGCGGGTCCCACTCAGCACACAGCATCGCAAGCCTCCAGCCTCAGTGAGAGTCAACCTGACAGGCACTGTCCGACTGCTCACCTGCTCCACAGACAGTGCCGAGTTCTCACCTTCGCTGGGTAGGTAGCGCCCCACCCTCATCACACTGGGACGGAGGAACTCGGAGGCTCTCAAGTGATCTGTGCTCCTTTGGAAACACGGTGCCTGCAGGCCGGTGAGGTGAGCCCACAGGACTATCCACAGCCCGCAGCGTGCACAGGGGCCTGGGACGGGGCGCTCTGGACACTGACCTCAAACTCCAGCGTGGCGGGAACGGGGCCTCCTCTGTGGCATCGGAGATCCAGACAGTCTCCGGTGCCCCGGTTTACAGAGGAGGAGTCTGAAGTCCGGGGCACCTGGACACCCAGAAGGAGCTGGTCTGTGTCTACACATCGGGCCCTGATGAGGGACAAGGAGCTCCCAGAGTGCAGTAGTCGCCAGGAAGCCAGACTGTCACTAGATTACAGATGACTGAGATGATTGTGAACATTCACAACCAAAAGGCTGCCACGGACGAGATTCGTCTGTTACACTGACGGTCGGGACCACCCCGCACACAGAAGGGGAGCCCCTCCACCGACGAGCAGGGTCCAGACTGAGTGAAGGCCAAGCTCACCTGGCGCCTGACTGACTGGCAGCGGGGCCCCTGCCCACCCGGATCAGCACATGAACCAGGAGCCGTGCAGGCTCTCCAGCTTCCCACCGTCCAGATCCTAGTGCCAGGTCCAGAGGTGAGAGGCATAAACGTCACAGACTAGCATCACATTACGGAGAGTCGGGTCATAAGTAAGGGAGCTGAAGGAAGAGACCACATGCACGGACTGAAGGGTCCTAGCAAGGTGTGGAGGTCCCCGAGCTGACCCACACTGGTCACCTGGTATGTGAACGTGTGTCCTGCACACAGGCACCATGGCCTTGGTCACCACATCCAGACTGTCCTTCTCCCCACCTGGCAACTCATGGGCAGAGCCTGGTGCAGGGAGAAAGATGGGGGCACAGGCCCACTCAGTTCTGCAGCTGCTGAGGGGCTTTGCAACAGTCGTGGGCTTCTCAGGAGGCCCTGTGGACTCCTGGCCTCTGGTCTCATCCCAGGTGCTGTGGCCCTGCTTACCCCTTCCTCTCCCATGTCATCACTCTGGACTGCCCAGCCCCCACCAAAGCTGTACCCTGTTTGTTCCAAATGAGTGAAACCTATTATTGCCGAAATGGTCCAATTGGATTTCAGGAAAGACTCTGGCCCTCTTTAAGAGTGGCCAGTGCCCAGGTGCATTCCTAAAGGAGAAATAAATGCAAGTCCCTACAGTTGAGGAGAGGGCATAGGCGATATCAACCAGAGGGCCAGAGTGGACAAGCAGTGTCCGTTGCCCACAGATTTCTTTTTTCTCCTTGAGCAGAGCACACTACATCAGTTGGCTTCCTTTAACAAACTAAAAGACGGCACTCCCAGAAGCCTCTGTGTGGGGCTGAACTCTATTCTCATTCTCCCTGGAAGTAAAATGGCAAAACACGTCACACGTGAATTCCAGTGCTTTTTACTTGCGACAAAGTGATTTAGCACTGGTTTCTGGGCTGACGGAAACCTATTTCAGGCGAGCAGCACAGGCCAAAACAAATGCTTGAATTCAAGTCCTGTTGTGTAATGAGGAAGTTTAATTAAGGCCCCACATTACAGCTGTAAATGTTCCTTTATATAATAAGGTCTAAATGAAACTGAACCTAATCAAAGTTACAATTCCTTCATTAGCAAATTACAAACAAGCTCGCACAGCTGACGCGCCGGCGAGGATTATCACAACTAATTGCCTCGTTGTCACAGGCCAGCCTGAAACAGCGTTCAGATGTCCGTCTGCGAGAGCAAATTAGGGCCACGTCGGGCTATTCCTGTGATCACAAGGGGCTCTTGTACAGCGATCTGATTTACCCGTGTCGCCTGGCGGCCAGCAGCCCAATCAAAGGCACGCTACAAAGGCAGCCTGTGAAGCCGGCCCTGCCTGGACGGGCCCTCCATATGTAGTGGGCACGCGGCACTTCATTAGATCTGTTGTCACATTTCCCTCTTCTCATTCTAATGATCCCATTTTAATACTCCCAGGAACCTCTTCTAATTGATGTCAAGTGAGTGACTTCTACATTCATCAACACCGCACATCAAACAAACCCTGGCACCCGAGCCAGCGTCCTCTCGGCCGACCCGAGGTGTGTCTCTGGCGACGGGCAGGGAGGGGGACGCTGCGTACCTGTTTAATTGGGATGGCTCGGCCGCTCCCGATGCTGTCCGCGCGGCTCTCCAAGCCTTTCTTCTCTTTGTCTGGGTCGCTCCCTTTCCGAGACTGCAAGGCAAAGGAAAGTTGGCATTTGGGTGGGGGCCGCGGCTCACACGCCCGCTCTTCCCCTGCCCACACGCTTCTGACAACAGGGACCTGGAGGCCACATCTGGCACATGTGTGTGCACACACACATCCCAGAAACAGACCCGCAAGCACTTCATCTGCACTGACTCATCATTCCAGAGAATTTCCTAAACTTTCCCCCTGACTTTTTCATTAAAAAAGAATTAAAAGATAATTTTGCAAAGAGTTCAAAATTCAATTACTAGAAACCAATGGACCATCTAGGAAAGTAACGCCCAAGAAGAAAACACATTCCAGAGCTGCAGTTAACACAGCCAAGGAGAAAAAGGGCTCCTTGCTGCTTAGTCGGAAAACAGTCTGCATAAATGTATATATTTAATTAACGTCTGAATGATCTAAAAAATTCTATTAACTAGTCAGCTGAGCAATTTAAATGTGCACCCTTGATCGGCACCAAGGTGTGGGCGGTGTTGCCTTCTCTTGCTTCTTCGTGGGTAGAAAACAGTGATTTCAAAGTTAAACTAGTGTACCATAGCACTGAAAATAACAAGGGAAATCCCAGAAACCTCCTCCCGATAAAACGCTGGTATTCGGGAAGAGCGAGCAGCTCTGTGGGTCTGCCTCGTTCCGGAGCCAATTATCTCGAAGGGAGCGTGGATATTGCAGAGCTACCCGGGGGCTGGTGGCCAGCGGGGAGGGGGCCATATGTGACCAGGGAGCCACAACCTGAGGTGCACCTTAACTTGGCCAAGACCACAAGAGCGTCCCCGTCCAAGTCGCCATCCACCGATGGCGCGAGAAAGGGCGAGCGCCGTGATTTTCTGACAGATTTATTTTATTATGAGAGAAAGATCTGAGACTCGTCCTCCTTAATAACTGTGCTGACAAGTGACAACTTCACTCCATTACTTTTCAATGGGAACATTACTCACGCAATATTGAAAATGGAGAAACATTTTCATGTGCTTTTCAAATCTGAAATGATATATGAAACGGAGAGACCCGGTGGTGTCCAGTGCAGCCGCGATGGTGATAAAACCCAGTTTCAAAGGCATGTGGGATGCTGCGGCCGGTGTTCTAAAACAATGTTAAAAGGGGTGACGGCACAGGACATGAGAAGGCCAGGCCGACGGGACGGGCTCGAGATCCCAGGAGAGGCTGCTGCCAGAATCAAGTGACAAGACAGGGAGAGGGCCCCGGTGACATCAGGCAGCGCCGGCACCTCAAAGGGCGCTCATTAGAAAACGTGCTGCTTCTGTGACCACGGGGGCTCACCATTAGTGAACACCTACTATGTGTCTGGCAGAGTGTGCCTTGTTTCCTTAGGATGGTTAGAAAGCTGGAACGAGACGACAGGAAGCAGCCGAGGAAGACACCCAGGGTCTGCCCTCCGGGACAGAAGGAAGGAGAGGTGCTCGTCAATTCCTCTTCAGGAATCACAGCCAGAGTCTGGGGGTTTTCCTTCTCTTTAATTAATTCTCAAATTAATAATGTGTAGTAAAAGCTATGCGATGATCTCAAATTCTTTCTTCACGTTTTAATTCTTGCAGAAGCTGGCCCTTCAGGTTTCCAGTTGTAAGAAGAATTTTCAAGCTTGCAGACAGAACATTTAAAACAATTCTAGGTTGACGTACAGCACTAACAGTACTTTGGGAATTTTACGAATTCTAAATTCCTAAATCTGGAAATCCATCTTCATTATTCTCTATTAAACAGAATAATTAACAAAACAAACATTTAAAAAAAAATTAACATCCTCCTCAGGGCAGCACATCTGTCCCCGTACCCACTTCTGTTCTCAGAGCAGAATCTCCCGAGCAGGAGGAAACGGCTAACTGTATTGCCACGAACAGCTCGGAAACAAAACTAAATCCAACATCTGATCACAGCTCAGCTAGGAACTGGAACCTGGTAAGACTTCTCTGCAAAAATCAAACCAAAATTTCCTGAAAACTAACATTCTGGTGAGAGTCATAACCTAAATGCCAGCAAAGAGCTGGGCAAGCTGATGGTCAGAAGGCTACAACTCAGGTCAACAATTACTCTGTCCAAACAGGCTATGTTAATTAAATTGAAATAAAAAACTAAATTCACTGGACAAAGAATGCTGCAGCCCGTGTAAATCCCCAGCGAGGTCATCTTGTTGTCCTGCAGACGGCATCCTCCGTCACGGCTGAGATGGCTCTGGGGATGTCAGATGCAGCGGTCCTTGGTACCCACCAGTTGTCGGAGAGCTGCGTCCAGCCCGCTGCTCACTACTGAGAACATAACCAGGGTTTGTGTGCCTGGCTCAGAAGATGTGGAGACCCCGAGCGCTGAGAAAGGCCGCTCAGCTTCCACAGATGCTCAGTGCAGGTCATCTGACGATCACTCGCTTCCTTACAAAGAGTTTCACTTCCCTCAGGTGAAAGAAGCCAGGAAGCGACATGCCACCCACACCCGTGTACCTGGACAGAGCCCTGCTGCAAGAACCCTTCCTATCAAACAGACACCACTCTCCCCTTGTCCGCAGCAAGGAAGGGCTGAGGACGCACCTGTCACGGGCACCCAGGCTCTACAGAAACACAGCGTGCCATTCGGAACTGCCACCTGTATACAGATGGCACGTCTTATTCTCACAGTGAGTTCTGTGAGTTGTTCAATGTTTTGCACAGTCTTGGGACACAGGCATGCTTAGCTCTGGTTAATGACACTGACATTACACAGCAAGCTTTTGAAAGACCACATCAACAACACCATCGCTACAGTGTGAAAGGAGGCAGCGCAGCGCAGCACACTGGGTGAGGACCAAGCTAGTTTAAAACGTGAACAGAGACAACATGCGAGGGATTCAGCAGGGCTGGTCCCTGGGAGGGAGGCAGGAGACCCCATCTGGGAGGCGTCCAAGGAGGGCTTCACCCTTCACTTGGGATTCACTTATTTCTTGAAGCAGCAGCAGTGGTAGCAGCAGAAAAACATTTGAATTTGGTGCGTTGGAAGGTGGTATGTGTGTATATTTTTTATTCTGCTATATTTGAAAACATTTTCAAATAAAATGTCTCAACCACAAGTAAGTTGGGGCTACTAAATTAATCACTCTAAGAACCCATATTCCAAAACAGTCTTTTAGTGTTTGTTTTTTCAAAACAATAATTTTTCAAAATGCTCAAAATATATTTTCACTTTTGATTACTAAAGTATAATTCCTACTATAAAGCTACTAATTAGAGAGAGTTTAAATTTGTATCATTTCATATAAGGTACACATGATTTGTTTTTTAAAAAAAGTAAACACATGCAAACAAAAACATCTGGGAGTAGAAAATGTTAGCCCAGCCTATACATTACACGTCTACGTTATAAAATATGTAAGAATGGTATTTGAAAAAATGGTGTGTGTACTATTTAATTAACTCTGGCCTCTTTGTAATGCACTAATAAATAAGGTGGCTGTTGCCTCTTGCATATTATAAACCCAGATGCATGAATTTTTATTCACTAAGATTGATCCCATATGGTACATGTGTCCTCCTTCTAGATACTTTTAAATAAACATACACTTTGACAATTAAGCCAGAAAAAAATGCCAAAGATCACCAGAGATGAAGAGTCTACCGGATTTTACATTCTTCAGAATGTGAACAAACTGGCAGCAATAAGAATTTAGTTTCTTCTTCCCAAGATTTCAAAATTGATTTGCTTTCTCTTCATTCCTTGAATGACACTGACATCTAGTGGAGTTAATCTAAGATCTTCTACTAAAAAATACTCAGTACTTATGCATCACCACTATCGTCACCACCTCCATGTCACCACCACCATCACCACAGTTCTGTCAACTGAAACCCAGAAAGGGACAGGCAGACCCTGCTGGGATTTCAACCAACTTCATCTTGGCTTCTTTTCATGACCTCACACTTCTGTTCTCCTTAATATAGCCGGGCAGCGGGGTTTGGTTACTACAATGGTCCACTCTCAAATGGTCTCCCAACATTAGAAAGGAAGAGAATACACACGGACCCTGCACAGGCCACAGGCAGGCCGCGATCAGTCGTCCCCCGACTTAGTCCCCATGCAGGGTGGTTCTCGCTGGTTCCTGCACCTGCCTACCCAGCCTGCACTCTGGCTCCCTGGCCAACTGGATGCCTGGTGCACACGCGCTTCCTCGTGGTCTTCGTCAGCTGCAGGCAGGCCCTTCTCTTGAATTCTGCTCTCTCCTTTCAGTGTGCAGAGCCCCTAGCTTCCCTCCAGACCCCTTCTCCTGAATGCAGCGGACTCTGGCACAAGCCCTCCTCCTGGACTCTGGGCAGAACCAGGGCTCTGCCGCGAGCCAGGCTAAGTCAATATTTATTAACTGGGTTGTGATTTTGATTGTTCCCATCTTAAAGTGCTCTCCATAGTCCACATGGATTGTCGGTTACCCATTATAGGACAGGATCCGGGACACTATTTCCTGGCACAATCCAACTCCACAGCTACCCCTTTAGAGGATGGGACAAGAATGTGCTGCTGATCTTCTTATAAGTAACTCCACTTTTTTGTTTGTTTATTTTTTGCCGTTGGGGATCTAACCCAGGGGCGCTTCACCACTGAGCTACATCCCGACTCCTATTTATCTATCTATTTATTTATTTATTTTGAGACAGGTTCCACTATTTGCTGACAGTCTCATTAAATTGCTGAGGCTGGCCTTGAATTTGAGATCCTCCTGCCTCAGCCTCCAGAGTTGCTGGGATTGCAGGCCTGTACCACCATGCCTGGCTAAGCAGCTCTATTTTTAAAGGCATTTCCTGGATTTTTATTTCTTTCACTGAATAAAAACCAAAGACAATGAGCAGCTAATGTGACCCTGGCGGGTGCCAGAGGCTGTGTTCTCCCTCCCGGCTCCTAACAGGGATGGCATCGACGACACAGAAGTGTCTTGACAGATGCATTCACCAGCCTCTTGAGTCCAGAGGGGATGTGCAGCCTGTCCTGTGGGGTGGCCACTTCTCACTGGACAAGGCCCTGGCCTGGGAGAGCTGGGAGGGAGCCGTTGGGGCCAGTGTCCCATTCGGTGTGCGCCCACGGACACTGAAGGCCCAGCAGAGGTTCCCTGCACTGAGACACACACTGCCTCCCCTCCAGCCAGCCATCTTATAGCTACTCCCACCTGACCCCATCAGAGGTCACGTACGGAACATTAGTGGTCATGAGGGAACAGGGAAAGCCATGCCACAGGGCTCTTCTGCCCCTCTGCACAAGTGCTACCTTCCCAGCTCAGAGAGGTTAAGTAATTTGCCTAAGTTCAAACAGCTGCCAGTAGGGGAGTCCAGGGCCTGGGCCTGCTCTCTCTGATCAGTCTGCATAGTAGCCTCTGCCAGAGCAGCATGGAACAAGGCAATCAGCAAGGAGCAGAGAGCAGTTAAGTGGCACTGTGCAGTCAGCAGACCCTGGCGATACTGTCTCAGGGCGGGAGAGGGACGAGGCATCTACCAGACTTGGCCGGCACGGTGGCATCAAGACGGCCATCATCAGTAAGGGAGGCAGGTGAGATGTGCACTCCCAGTTCTCGTGGGGGTATTCTCCTTCAGTTTCAGACAGGAAACACTAGACTTCTTTGTGTCTGAGTCAGCACCAACCAACCAAGAGGAGACAGGTGTGATCCGAGCACTGCCTGCAGGTGGGCCGAGCTTCCTTTGTAGGTGGGGCTGGCCTGTGAGTCAGGAAGTTCAGGAGCACCGGCTGCTGCTCTTGATGGTACCTCCAGCACCTGACCCATCCACCCATTCCCATGGTGTGACAACCCCAAATCTCTGCAGAAGTTGCCAAAAGTCCTTCAGTTGCAGAAGTGCCCTGGCTGAGAACCACTGGTTTAAAACCTGTCATGCACAGAGCTGGTCCGGGGGGGAGAGTGCTCCTGCCTGGTCACATGCCAGCAGCTCTGCCTGGTGTTCTGGGCTCCACTGCAAGGCCTTCCAGGGTGGGTTGGTGATGCCTGCTGTGTGGGAAGGATGGGGGTGGACAGGATGGGGGTGGGCAGTGTTTGTGTCTCCTGTATTTCAGGAATTTCCTTATCTCAGTGGTCCCCAGAGCCACCCATAGGTCAGGGCCCCACCCAGAGACTCTGAGTTTCTAAATGTGACCCTAAATACCTGATCTCCAGTTTTCAAACACTCCTAGATGACTCTCTCTGTGCTGTGAGCCCCAGGAAGCCCAGGGCACGTGGGGCTGAGAGCCAGCCCTGTCCCAGCCCCGACCTGCACCCACTAAGGCAAGTCCTCAGACAGGGAGAACAGGCTGGCTCCCATGTCCCATCTGAAGAAATGGGTGCACACCTTTGAGAATGCCACACAGCTCTGTTTTGTGTAAGATGCAGACAGTGTCTCTCTAGAGACCATGAAATGCTTGTTACAAATCCAAGATACCAAGGCTCTCCACGCACACTGCTCTCCATGGAGAACTCCCATTCTACTCAGCATCCAGACCTTGGCTCCCACTGCTGTCTTAGATTTCCAGAGTCAATGCCATTCTCATTAACTTAGCTTGGATTCTACGACTACCACTGGACCACCAGACCACCACGTTAACAGGGACCCAGGCTCCTCGGTGTCACACTCAGGCCTCTCCCCAGGGCTGACACTCACGGTGAAGAGGTTGGACCGGCGCTTGGACTGCTTCCGCACGGGTGTCGGGGTGTTGGCAGTGGGGGGCACATCGATCCGAAGCTCCTTCTGGCTGGTGCTTGGGGTCGACGGGACAGAGGAGGAGTAGTCGCTTAGGCTCCCGCCGCCATTACTTGTCTGCAATGATCAAAACCAAGGTTTCATTAAGGACACACGCCTGGAACCTAGGGTCACCACCTCAGTGGGGTCGCAGTCAACCAGTTCTCAAGTCTTGTGGGGTGAGCCAGGGCGGAAGGCAGACTTCTGTGACTTTGCCAGCTGTGTGCAGCAAGCACACAAGGCCTCATTCTAGGAATCTGCCATCTCAGAGTTGTTTTGTCTAAGAAAGTGACCAGAGGGAACAAAGTGTCTATCATTAAACTTGAGCATTTCAAACAGCTAAAATGTAAGCATTTCCCTTCCCTCTGGAAAGCAAAGAGGCTAGTTAAACTAATGGATTCCCCGTTCCTTCTCTGCTCTAGAACAGGAGCAGAGGGACCTGGTTTGCTCAGCAGAACCACAAGGAACATTCTGCTGATGACATCTGGAAATAGGGTGCTGCTGGAAGATGTTTCCAGGCTTGCAGGAAGTTAAAGACGCCAACAGTACAGCGTTGACATTCCTGAGTGAGCCTTCACAGCCCACAACAGAGACCACAGGAATGTACTGCCTTCCCGGGCACCAACCCTTCCACTGCACCCTCTGGACCCAAGGGCCAAGAGACCACCTAGCCAAGAAAGGTCAATCACAAAACCAGCGCAGGCAAAATAAAGCAAAATAAAGCAACAGTATCCTGAACAGGCTTCTGCAAGTTCTTCAAAGTGACAATGATTTCATTTGCTTCCAAGTAAATAATTTAGAAAAATGTTGTTATGTAAAGAGAACAATTTCTAGAGAGCCCGGGGGAGGTGGCAATTATAACAAATTGCGCTGCCAACTTGAGGCGTGCCATGGTTCACCCACAAGACGGACTGAGAACTGTGAACCTGCAAGTGGGCCAGGACGCAGACCAGAGCATGGTGCCTTAAATCAGCAGCGGACACACTCCTGCACTGCCCTGGGCCAGCGTGGCTCATAATGAATTCCAGGCAGCAGGAACGACCCCTAAAACCCAGCTGGCCACGGCAGGTTCTGAAGGAAACGGGGGTCAATCACAAACACGCTGCTGTTATCTCTGCAGTTGGAACGAGCCAAGCCGACTTCTGCACTGACTGAGAGCACTGTCTCCACGCTGTCCCTGGTCCCAGGTCCCCTCAGTCCCTCATCCCACCTGACCTACCTGGCTGATGTGCACGGCGGACACCTGTGCAGAACAGACGGAGGAGTGGCTGGGAGAGTTGGGCAGGGACTTGCAGGGGCCGATGGACAGCTGCTGCTTCTTCCTTGTGGCAACAATCTTCTGGGCCACTGGTAGACACAGAGACAAGAGAAATCGCCCTGAAGCCGGTGTCCAAGTGCCACAGGCAGAGCAGACGAGCTGGGGACCCCGACACCTGCAGGGCTTTCCCTCCTTCCACAGGACCTTCAGTTGGCACCTGGACATTTCCCAGAGCTTCCCCCGGGGCCCAGCCAGCAAGCTCTGGGACCACCTTCCTCCAGGGAGAGCTGCCCTCTGCTCCCTGGTGTCCCTTTCCTTCATCGGCCTGAATCGCAGAGATGTCTGTGGCCAGCAGCCTTCCCGGGCCATGAGGGGGTGCTGGGGATAGAACCGACACTGAGTGAGGCCGGACACAGAAGGCACGGAGGGCCTCAGAGGACTCACGTGTGGAAACAAAAACACAGACCCACAGTGTGAAATTCACCCTAAAATAACCTTTTTCCCAGTTAGTGGTAGCACTGATGAGCCTAACTGGAACAGGGAGATTTCCCTAAAGCCCTTGGAACCCCAAATCCTCCTGTCACACTGCCTGAGGAGTCACGCTTAACTCCACAGGCTCTGGTGGAGCTGATACTCAAGCACAAGCAATTACATCCCAGCTCTTTTTTTATTTAAACGTATCACCTCCACACTGGAAGTTTATCTTCATCAATACAAATCTGAATCCAACCAGCCATAACTTCTCTTGGCAAATAGGCTGGCTGATAAAGCATACTGGATTTAATTGGAAAGGAAGCCGGCGATTAGAAAGCCCTTCCTGCACTGAGGGGTGTCACTGCGGGAGGAGTCCCGGGGTTCATGTGGATGGATGTGGGCCTCGGGGAGTGGCTGCCACTGGGCTCAGTGCTACTGCACTCATCTCTTGGTCTGGGTTGTTCCGGCCCCCAAAGGTGCCAAAGTGGAAGGACACCGTGCCTTTCCCTGGCCCCTGGTGATGTCCTGTAAGCAGCCCACGTGCTGCCCACAGACCATGCTCACTGATGATTTCTTTTCCAAATGAACACAATTTTAATAAGGAACTGGTCTGTCCACAGCCTGTGGTTTTCGTGTGAATGAATGATAGTATAAATATGATTAAGTAAAAGTGCAATGAATAAAAAATGGTTCAGGAGACGAAGCAGCGGCTCCATTAGTTACATCCCCCTCCAATAGGCTTCTCATCAACCTAAAAGGATGGTATCAATTAATTTATCTTCCTGCAGTGTATCGAACACAACCTTCATCAGCTAATCATGTTTAAATTACAGAGGAATATCGCGGCACTCTGTCATTTCAAAACCATTGGCGTATTGATCAGGGGTCTTTGAAGACATATATTAGAATATTTTAAAAAATCATTGCATGAACTCAAAAATGAAATCTCAGATCAGCTTCCAATAGGTGCAGAATGTGTGTCACACAGGTGTACTGAAATCCCAAAGACCTTAAAGCAAATCAGCCTGAAATCAGGGCTGCCTGGGCGAGTGCTAGTCCTTATCCTTTTGAAACACAGCAAAAAGGGGCTGTGTTTCGGCCCCACATTCTGCTTCTCTGTCAGCCTCAGTGTGTGTCCGCCGTGTGACCACACAGGCCACCGAACACAGGAGCCGCACATGGACGGCAACAGGACTTGATGGGCCAGGAGAGCTTCGCAGACACTCTCCACACGTGTGTTTCACGCCAAGGCAACGTTACAGACTTTCCACGAGAAGTCAGATATTTCACTAAAACCCTAATTCTATGGATCTCCAAATGGAAACAAATGTGTCCTCTCTACAAACAGGCTAGAAAGAAGGCGTTGGTGATTAAAAAGAACGTTTTAAAAACGACGTACAGAGCATGGGCCGTGTCCTGAGGACTAAAATCCCACTGCCCCTTTATTACTGCTCTACCACATTAACTGCAAAACAACAACAACAACAACAACAACAACCAACCAAACGAACAAACCACGCAGTCATAACCCGTAATGCCTGGTGTCTTTTTTTTTTTTTAAATCTTACTACAATATTCCCCCATTTTAATTCCTTCCTACTCCCATACACAAATTAAAGAAAGAAAATGATTTACGAATACCTTGTCCTAAGACACAGAGGCTGCTTTAGAAGTACAAGGATCTGCCTAAGGAGGACATCACCAGGAGGCGAAGGCCCTCTGTGAACCTTCGCACCTTTCCATCAGGAGGACGGAAATCCGCTGCCGTGAAGACCTGTGGCTAACACCGTGGACCTGCTAACCGCAGCTCTGCTGCTTGCTTTATGTCCCACGGAGGGAGTGACATGTCTGGGGGCCCTGCTTATAGACGCCCCTGAGGACTCTGGACCAAAGCTAACATGATAACTGCCACCCAACTGGCACTGTGGTCCAGGCCTCAACCACGGCACAACGGGGGGGGGGGCAGGCGGGCTCCTCGCAGAATCAAGGAAAATCAAGGCCAGGGACGGAGGGTGCTGTGAGTGCACCTGCCTGGCATGTGTGAGGCACTGGGTTCAATCCTCAGCACAGCGTCTAGGTAACTAAAATAAAGGCCTACCAACAATTAAATACCCCCACACCCCACATTTCAGGGGAAAGAGAAGGCAGACACATTTACTGGCCCGCAGAGGGAGACATGCAAGGTGCCCTCCTAGAGCCCCTGTGAGACCGTGAAGAAGGCCTGGAGGGGACCTGCCTGGGTACGCGGCCCGAACCCAGGCGCTGCGCCCACTCCCTGGCGGGGACTCACTGCTGATGACTGGCGGCAGGCGGGGTGGCTGGAGGAGGGGACCTGGGGAGATGCTTTTGGGGAGCCTATTTTGTACCTGGTGAGTGAATTCTTGCTCTGCTTCCCGATGACGCCCTGAGTTGCTTCCCTGTGCCACATCCCGATGTCACGATGCTCTGCCTCACCCTGGGCTCTGAGGAATGGAGTCAGTCATCTACGGACTGAGACCTCTGAAACCATGAGCCCAAATAAACTTCTTCTCCTCTAAAATGGTTCTTTCCAGGTCTTTCAGTCACAGCAGTGAAAAAGCAGACTGAAACAAGTGGTGATCCCTAAGTACTCAGGGTACTTAGAACGCGTAAACGTCAGGAAGTTTAAAAGGTGACCGCGACCTCTGACTGTGCTGGCTGGCCAACTCTCACAACCAGTTTCTGAATCTGGTCATTCGACAATTGAACACGCTACGTATTTTACATCAGCACATATGCCAGTGTGTACATCTATGTCTAAGGGAAATGTGTGCATTTATCAAAAGCACAGCCACTTGAACTCACGAGAGTCCAAAATCTTTATCATGGGCATCTGACTTAGTCTCCACGCGGTGACTCATGACCATGAATGTGCCCATGCACTGCGTCTGTGCCCAACGTGGCCTCCTCAGCAGGCACGGAAGGCGACTGGCCTGGTACCACCACACTGCTCAACACATCACCTCCAGGTGACGCTCAGAGCAGCTTCAGGTCACCTTTGTTCTCACTTTAAAATCTGGCTTGGGCATGGATGGAAGGTGGAGCTGCCCTGCAGTCAGCCCTGCAGTGCTGGTGACCACACGGCAGGAGGCTCACAGCAAGCCAGCCCCGGGGTCAGACGGTGCCAGGTGAGGGAGGAAGGGGGCTGGATCCTGGAGCTGGGTGAGGGGCTGCTTCTTGATGGAGGATAATTTTGTGGTATTTTTAAGTCTACGTAGACTTTCGCGCATGCATTTGTGTTCTTCAATTAAAAGCAAATTTAAGAATGTAAACCATAAAAACATTTACTTTCTGCACAAATTTTAAACTTCCCAAGGAGCAGAAGGAAAATCGCAGTCTTTAATGAGTGGCAAAAGTAAGATTCTCAGATGGGTCCGCCTGGTCTGGACCAAATGCTGGTCTCTACTCCCACAGAGAGCAAGGACAGAGAGGCCGTCCGCCCCGGGGAGGGCTGAGCCGGGTGGGCAGGCTCTTGACCACTTCGTCCTCAAATCGGGAAGACAGGCAGAGGACAGGGTCCAGTTTGGCCCGTGACTGCCCTCAACACCCTCAGGCAGCAGTGAAACACTCCCTCCTCCGCCTGCGACCTCTCCTGCTCTCCAGTCTCTACAGGGTTCTTATGTCACTGGTGTAAGGGACAGAGCCCAGCCCATAGCACACGGGAGGTGCTCAGCCAGGGCTGTGTCAGTCCAATGGCGTACCAAGTCCCATCTCTCAGCCTCCTCCGGGCAAGCACACATGAGGCCACCTCCCCGGTCTGATCCTGCAGTCTGCCTCTGGGCCCTGGCTGGACCTGCCCTGGCATGGTATCTGGGGACACTGTGGCCACCAGGGGACAACTGCACACTGCAACCTGACCCCTGGGCAGCACCTGGCACTGCTGTCCGCGTCCTCACTGGGCTTCCTGGACACCCCATTTCCTTGCCTCCCCCACCTGGATCCTCTTTCCATCCCCCTCTGCTGGCCCCTCTAATGGACGTGCCCCAGGTTCCTGTCTTCAACCCTCTCTTCTCTCCAGGCGCCTCTGGAGGAAGCTTCTCCTCGCCAACATTTCTTCAAGGCCGCTGGCTCCTGTTGTGGACGTGACCCACCCTCCTCGCGTCCTTCCTGCGTCCTAGAACTGTGGATCCATGACCGCAGGCCTCCCTGTCAACAAGCAGGGGCAGTTCAAATGCACCGCCACCCTCCTGGGACTCCCCGCTTCTCTCCAACCTGCTTCTCCTGTCTTCTAACTCCATGGACCACACAACCCCCACCCCCGGGCACGGAGACAGGCGGCCAACAGATTGCTGACTACACCCCCAGAATGCCCCCAAATTCTTCTTTGTGGCTACTGTCATGACCCAAGAAACCCTGTCCACCCAGAGCTGGTACACAGGCCTCTGGCACTGCAGGTGGTTCTCCTGAGACAACCCTCTCATGACATTGTTCTGCTTGGTTTTCCAATGGCTCTGGTAGGACAAACCTCAGGACTGGCTATTTCCTGTCTGTGGGGCGGATTCTGCACTCCTGGTATTTCACTACACAAAAGCACCAGTCTCTTTCAGAATACAGAGCTCTCAGGACATTCCCATGTACCCTACGTGTCACGCAGAAC